TCGCCCCTGACACCTGGTGCTCTCTCAGGCGGGAGATGTGGATTGCCGAGAAAAAGAAGGCCTGGAGGCGGAGAAGGCTGGCACTGACGTCACCAGTCTGGAGGAGAAGATCAAGAAGCTGCAGAAGCACCAGACGTTCGAGGCCGAGCTTACTGCCAACAAGCCCCGCATCGCCGAGATCAAGGACAAGGGTGAGCGACAGGGAACGGCCGGGGGGAGAAAGGCTGACGGAAAGTGACTGTCGGGAACTGATGGAGAGGGATAGACTTCTCAGCCTTCTCTTCCGTTAATTGGTCAGTTGAGTTTCGTCGATTGCATTTACAATTAACCGATGTAGAATGGGATATTAATATCAAGACTAGCGTTTGTACCTATTTGCGGGGCACTGTCCGCTGCTGTTTGTTCGACTATCGCTGGCGAGCTGATCTTGATTGTGATGCAGTAAGGATAGCATCTAACTAGCACCTCCTTCCTATCCCCAGGTGACAAGCTGCTGCAGCAGAAGCACCTGAGCTCGCGGGAGATCCGGCAGCAGCTGGACGCCCTGCTGGCCAGCTGGCAGCAGCTGCTGGCCGAGAGCGCCTCGCGCGGACGCGGACTCGAGGAGGCGCAGGACATCCTCGACTTCAACAACCAGGTCGAAAAGGTCGAGGCCTGGATCCGAGACAAGGTAAGATTGACGTAATGCTCGATAGTTGTATGGATGCGTTGAAAAGATGGATTATTGGCGGGATGGATGCCCCACCTCAGTCTCAGTTCCCATTCAACCATACCTCAGTCTCGCACCAGCCTCTAAGTCACTGTTGTCACCCCGTCGTGCTATGTCACTCTCCCGCAGGACATGCTGGTGCAAGCGGCCGAGATGGGCCGCGACTACGAGCACTGCCAGGCGCTGCAGCGACGGCTCGACGATGTCGACTCGGACATGCGCGTCGACGACGTGCGCATCAAGAACATGAACGCGCTGGCCGACAAGCTGATCCGTCAGGGCCAGGGCGACAACCGGGCCGTGCAGCAGAAACGCGACGAGCTCAACCAGAGGTACGGACTTCACTGCTCGAGGGGGTGTTGAGTTTTTTTTTTTTTTTTTTTTGCTGGAAGTTTGATCTAATTTTAACAGAGCTTTATTTGAATTGTAAAAGAGCTGCTTCATTTAAGTGATTGTAGATAATTGACGTAAATGTTTCGCTCCATAAATAGTTGAACGCCGAAATTTCTAGGGGATCGACAACCACACCATTCTCTTTCGTTCTCGGCATCCGGTTTATTATAGCTCGACCGATAGACAACCGCGCACTACGGTCCGAAAGTTTGTCCAGCTCTGCTCCTGCGTGGCACTCTGGCCTAACCCCCTCTCCCTCTCTCCTCACAGGTGGAAGTCGCTGCAGGGCGCGCTCTCGTCGTACCGCGAGCAGCTGGCCGCCGCTCTCGAGGTGCACGCCTTCTACCGAGATCTGGCCGACACTGCCGAACGCATCCAGGAGAAGGCGCTCTCACTCTCCTCCGAGGAGACGGGCAAGGACCTCGGCTCAGTGGAGGCTCTGCAGCGCAAACAGGAGGCCGCCGAGCGAGACATGACCGCCATCGACGGAAAACTCAAGGTGGGGATCGAGGGAGAGGTGCCGACTGCCTACACGTCATGGCAAAGCTGCAGCAGAGGAGGTCCGAGGGACGATGAGCTCTTTAACCTTTGGTAATGACGGTATATTTGACCAACTTAGGTTATGAAAACTATCTTAGTAAAAGGGAGGTACTTAAAAGAGCACTGTTGACCGTCTTTCAGCTCCTCCCGATGGACGTCAATGACCAGTCCGAGCGATGATGAAGCGTAATCGTTGTCATCATCGAACAATTATTTCCTTTTGTTTCTAACTCCTCGTTTCTCGCTCTCAGGAGCACGACGCCGAGGCGCGTCGTCTGATGCAGAAGTACGCGGACCGTGCGGCGCCGATCCGCGCCCGGCTGCAGGTGGTGCAGGACAGCTGGCGCCGGCTGCAGACCAGCTGCGAGAACCGGCGCACGCTGCTCGCCTCCTCCTACACGCTGCAAAAGTTCCACGCCGACCGCCGAGAGCTCGAGGCCTGGGTGGCCGACATGATGAGCCGCATGGCCGCCAGCCACGACGGCGGGGATGCAGAGAGGGCCGAGGAGCTGCTGCAGCTCCACCAGGTGAGCCAGAGGGAGTGAAGAAGTGGAGGGGACTGGAATGGTGGCGTGAGGTGTGGGTGTCTTTTGGAGTGTCATGTGATAAGTCGGATCAGCTACAGCTGTTTTTTTTTTTTTTTTTTTGTTAGCTCACATGCATCAATCTGCATCGTATGTATCACATTGCAGTCGTATGTTTGTTGAGTCATTACTCAAAATATTTTCGTGGCTAATTTATTCGTGCTTAAATTTGTAGCAGTCATAAATCATGTAATTCCCCGCTGACCTCTCCTATCTTTCCCCTCCTAGGAGCGTAAGGCGGAGATGGACGGCCGCCAGGAGGCGTTCAAGGCGCTCAAAGACTTTGGCCACAAGCTGGTGCAGGAGCAGCACTACGCGCGTGACGAGGTGGAGACGTCTCTGGCGCAGCTGGAGGAGCTGCGGCGCACGCTGGGTGCCAGCTGGGAGGAGCGCCGCCACCAGCTGACGCAGGCACACCAGCGCCAGCTGTTCGACCGGCAGGCGCAGCAGGCGCACGCCTGGCTGGCCGGCAAGGAGGCCTTCCTCAACAACGACGACCTCGGGGTGAGACAGCGGGGCCGGTTCGTGATTTGACGGCTTTGGGTCTGTAGGGTGCGCGTGCTGAATAACAGAGTCACTCTGTAGTGGACTTCGAGCCGGATAAAAGACGAAACCTGATTTTTTATTTGGGGGTTTGATTGCCCCAGTAAAACACTTTAATATCTCCGGATTAGGTGCTTTTGATTCTCAGTTCTCACACTTATGTCGCTTTGCACATCTCTGTTCCGCCACTCCGTCTGAGCCGATGCCCGTCTCTGACCACTATCCGTCCCGCCCGAAGGACTCGATCGCCAGCGTGGAGGCGCTGATGAAGAAACACAAGAGCTTCGAGAAGACGTTCGCGGCGCAGGCGAGCCGCGTGGACGAGCTGGAGCAGTCTGCGGTGCAGCTGGTGGCCGCCAAACACTACGACTCGGAGGCCATTCAGGAGACGCTGCAGGCCGTCTGCCAGAGGAGGTGAGAATGGGGACGCAGAGGGACTCGGTGAAAGCCGGGACCGACTTATGTCAGATAGTGGATGGGTAGCGGGGTGACCGGGAAGGTCAGGTCAGATTCCGCCATCTGTCAAACCTTCAAAGGATATTTGGAAGAGCGTGGTCAGGTCAGACTGATGTCAGAGGTAAGGCGCCGTCTGTACGAACGAGGTCTGCATGGATACCACCGGGTCGCGCAGTGTGGAACGGTCTGTCAGTCAGTAGAGAGGGGCAGGTGGGACACTCTGGGTGGGACGGGGGAGAGTCTGGACCCTGGAAACTATCCATGAAATTATGAAACTGTTATGAGACTGGAGGAAATAAAGATCGGACTGGCCAGTGTGGGGGTCGAACCCACGACATTCGCGTTATTAGCACGACGCTCTAACCAACTGAGCTAACCGGCCGGCGAGGGCTGGGTTAAGAACCTTTTTCAAACATTTTCTGACAGAAAAGCTCCTTGAAGCAAGTTTCGGCTAGTTAACTATATTATTTGTGCCGTGATTTGCGGACCCATCCCTGTGCTGATTAATTCATCTGGTAGGTAGCTCTGCGCTCACCGAGCGTCCGTCCTCACTCACTCATTTCCGTCGGCCGCAGGGACCGTATCAAGGAGTCGTCGCTGGTGCGCGAGCAGCGTCTGGCCGAGTCACTACAGCTGCAGCGCTTCCTGCGCAACATCTACGAGTCGGAGACGTGGCTCGGCGAGAAGATGCAGGTGGCTTGCGACGAGTCGTACCGCGACCCCACCAACCTGCAGTCCAAGATCCAGAAACACCAGGCGTTCGAGGCCGAGCTGCAGGCCAACGCCGGACGCGTGCTGGCTGTCAACCAGGTGAGACCGTCTGTAGGATGCTGCTTGGTGTGATGCAAGGCGTAGACAGAATTTGGGAAAAGGATTATAGTGCACATCAAATAATATCATCGTAACGGTCATAGAAGAACCTTTTCTATTTTGTTCTTAACGGACCGGCTCATTTACAGATGTAATTGACTGCGACTTTGACCTAAAATATCGTTTGACTGTACTTGCTTTAGCCGGTGTTAGGTGTCTTGTCCTAGGCTGTCCTGTAGAACCTTTCATCCCCAGACCATGACACCTTCCCCTTCCCCGTTACAGGAGGGTGAGGCTCTGATGACGGCCGGCCATTACGCCGGTATGGAGATCCAGGCGCGGCTGGACGCGCTGGAGGCGCTCTGGCGCCAGCTGCAGGACGAGACGTCGCTGAAGAAGCGCCGGCTCCAGGAGGCCTACCAGGCGCTACTGTTCCATCGCACGTTGGACGAGCTGGACGCCTGGATGGACGAGGTGGAGTCACAGCTGGCCTCCGAGGACCACGGCGACTCGCTGACGGCCGCCGCCAACCTGCTGAAGCGACACCAGCTGCTCGAGGCCGACATCAACTCGCACGCCGACGCTGTACAGCAGGTGGGCAATGCTGACAGCTGCAGTGATCGCGCCCGGATTGGAAGGATGTGTGGGGACGGCCGGTGAATAGGGTTTAGTACGCAGCAGTGAAGGACGGAGGGGAATCGTTGAGTCTGTCACCATGCCAGCGAGACTGTCGATGCACATAACGGTACAAGTCTACATACAGCTTGGTGAGTGTCGCACTCGATAAGGCTATCACACATTTTCGTCCAGAATTTCGTTGTCCGTGACTTCGTTCCATCAATGTTCTCATTCATACTACAAGACGTAAGATTGAGAATTTCCTTATCACTCTGTTTCAGGCGAAGGAGACGGCTGCGCAGTTCGCGCGCTCTCAGCACTTTCAGCGGGAGGAGGTGGCGGAGCGCGCCAACCACGTGGTCAAGCGGTTCGCCTCGCTGGCCGAGCCCATGCAGATCCGCCGCGACAACCTGGAGCAGGCCACCCAGCTGCACCAGTTCATAAGGTCAGTAAGGCTAATCAGAAGGCACAGTCTGTCAGTTCAGTGGAGCTCCGGAGTAACGACCTGTCAGACAAGGTCACCGAACTGCCTCAGTTTGTCAGGTGAAAGACATTAATGAGGAGAATGTTCAACGAAATACCTGTTAGTTTGCAAAGTTCGTTTCTTTATCCAGGATTTCCGCTATGAATGTTGATCTTCAGATGAGTCACTTCTGACGGATATCCCGATCGGTAACCCTCGGATATGGTTTGCTCGTTCCGCCTCCCTGTGCTGACGTCTTGCCACTGCTGTCTCAGGGACGTGGACGACGAGCTGGGCTGGCTGGCGGAGAAGGAGCCTCTGGTGGCCTCGGAGGACCTGGGCAGCTCCCTGGCCCAGGTCCAGAGCCTCCAGAAGAACCACCAGGTGAGTGTTTGGGACGGAGTGAGAAAGGGGAACAGCGTAGGGAATTTGGGATGGGTCCATTTCTGCTGCGCAAAGGCAAAAACTACTGTGTGAGGTCAGAGTCTGACCTCACACAGTAGTTTTTGCCTTTACACGGCAGATTCAGGCCCGGGGGTCGTGACTTGGAGGTCTGCTACGCCTGTATTCGCAAGAGTACTAGGCTTTGGATATTTTTACCGGCTGTCCCGCGCTGAAATCGCTGAATCGCGCCCGGACGTTGGCCGGTTAGCTCAGTTGGTTAGAGCGTCGTGCTAATAACGCGAACGTCATGGGTTCGACCCCCCATACTGGCCATTGGGCGTAGTTTTGACTCTGATAGATCCACCGGGGTCTGAAGACCTTCGAAATCCGGGGGCCCGGAGAGCAAACCAGCCCCTGATGCCCTCTCGGTGCCGTTGGATGCGGAGATCCGTCCATAACCCTGTACTCCCTCTCCTTCATTACAGGCTCTGGAGGCGGAGATCCAGTCTCACGAGCCGGTGATCACGGCGCTGGGCAGCCAGGCGCAGCAGATGATGCGCGCCAACCACTTTGCGTCTGCGGAGGTGGAGCGTCGCTGGCGGCAGCTGCAGGATCGGCACGGCCACGTGCGGGACGCGGCCAGCGTGCGGCGGCTAAGGCTACTCGACGCCGCCGAGTCGCAACAGGTGGGCATTTTGTGGCAGCCTGAGGGAGGGAGTGTGATGGATTAGATAGCTTCACCTTCTAATCTTTTTGTGGTAAAAGTATAGCGGGAGCGTTTAATGGAATTGTTTTGGCCTCTTCAACACTGTTGGCTTTTTCAGCTATTTGATTTGTTCTAAGGGTCGTAGTCTTGATGTTACCGAATATCTTATTGTTTGTCTTGTCCCTAGCGTTTGTGGTTATTATTGCCACTCCTCATATCGTTGTGATGCCTTTGTCGTGTGCTCTTGGTAGTAACGCTGTTGTCCTTCTGCCATGTTTGACTCCTTGCCGCTTCTTCTTGTAGTTCTACGCGGAGGCTGAGGAGGCAGACAAGTGGATGCGGGAGCGGAAGCCGCTGCTGACCTCCTCGGACACGGGCAAGGACCGGGACGCGGTGACGTCGCTGACCAAGAAACTGGACCTGGTCGAGCGCGACATCAACAACTACAACCAGGTGAGCTGGGCGGTCGGAACACGCCTGTCGACTGCTACCTGGGTACTGGGCCGTAGAGCCGCAACTAGACGCGCCGGCGTATGACGGCTGGGCGAGGCCGCAAGAGCGTAAAGATCGAATAATTGTTATAAAAAGTAAATAAAAAATGTGACATTGCTTGTTTCGGCTACACACCGGTGGCCGGTTAGCTCAGTTGGCTAGAGCGTCGTGCTAATAACGCGAATGTCATGGGTTCGGCCCCCATACTGGCCAGTGGTTCGCTCCTTTTCCTCTCGCTGCGACACCTGACCGTCCCCCCCCCCTCTCAGGTGATCGCCAAGCTATCTCAGCTGTGCCAGCGGCTGTCGGACCGCGCCCATTTCGACACGGAGCAGATGCGCGCGCGCCAGGCGCGGCTCGAGGAGCAGTACGCCGAGCTGGTGGGCCTGCTGGAGACGCGCCGGCTGCGGCTCCAGCAGAGCGGCCAGCTGTTCCGCTTCCTGGCCGAGGCGGACGAGGCGGCCGCCTGGGTCTCCGACCAGGAGCAGATCGCTGCCAGCGAGGACTACGGCAGGGACGTGGAGCACGTCGAACTGCTGGTGAGTGATGGCGGCGCGGGTTGATGCTGAGGTTGTGTGGGCGAGTGTCGAGAGAGGACACGGCGAACTATGGTAGGGAGCCTGTAACGTGGAGCCTGTAACGTGTGTGGTAGTGGTCCACTGCAGCGAGAACTTTGTATCGTAAGGAACCAGCTGTCATCGACTATTAACAGGATAATATTTTCGATTCGTGCCTTTTTTCGTCAATTATGACAGAAAAACATGAGTTAAGTCGGATCATACACGACTTAAGCATCCAAAGATCAGTCTCCCCCAACTCACCCCGCCCGCTTCTCCGGCAGATAAACAAGTTCGAGCAGTTCCTGAGCGGCCTGCAGTCCAGTGAGGAGCGTGTCACCTCTGTGGAGGAGAGCGCCCGACAGCTGGTGGCTGGCGGTCACCCGCAGCCGGAGCGTATCCTGCAGCGCGCCGCCGACCTGCGCCAGAGCTGGGACGAGCTGCGCGAGCTCACCCAGGCGCGCCAGGAGGCGCTGGCCGGCGCCAAACAGGTGCATGTGTTCGACCGTGACGCCGACGAGACGATCGCCTGGATTGGCGAGAAGGAGGCGGCCATCTCGACCGACGACTACGGCCACGACCTGGACTCGATCCAGGCACTGGTGCGCCGACACCAGGGCTTCGAGCGCGACCTGGCCGCCGTCAAGGAGCAGGTACGGCCGACGGAATAGTTAGTTGTCGAGGGTTGATGGGATAACACATGAAGAGGGGAGGGACGAGCGACGACACACACCTGTCATCGTTGAATATCAGTTTTTTCTGCGCTGCATAGCATAAATGATGAAATATAACTGACGAAACGTCAACTAATTTCATTTGTTTTAATGCAGCTGGTTGCGTTGCTGTTATTCTTGCAATGCGTTCTTACCGGCTGCGGTTGATGCCTTTCTTACCCGGTCCGTTCTCTCTGTCTAATACCAGGTGGAGCAGGTGGTGGCCGAGGCCAAGCGGCTGGCCTCCCAGTTTCCCGACGCCCGGGAGCACATCAGCGTCAAACACGAGGACACAGTACAGGCCTGGAACGATCTGCTCGACAAGTCGGCCCAGAGGAAGGACAAGCTCGAGCAGGCGGCCAACATTCAGGCCTACTTCGACGAGTACAGAGACCTCATGTGAGTGGTTGAAGAGTCACGGGAATGCTGAAAGAAATATTGTCTTCTCTTTGCTGTGTGATAAGCTTTTTCTGTTAATGTATTCTAGTTTTTATGTCCGTCTGCAACGCTCCATCACTTGTTGAACAGCATTAACCTTTTACCATCCCAGGGTCTCGTTGGCTAACCTCACCGTTTACCCCATCGTCAGGGCGTGGATTAACGAGCTGCTGGCCAAGATCACGGCTCCGGAGCTGGCGCGGGACGTGGCGGGAGCGGAGGCGCTGCTGGCCAGACACGCCGAGTACCAGGCCGAGCTGCAGACGCGACAGGACGCCGTCGACGCGGTAAGTGGGGGAGGGACGCAGGGAGGAGGGGACACGCCGAGTACCAGGCCGAGCTGCAGACGCGACAGGACGCCGTCGACGCGGTAAGTGGGGGAGGGAGGCAGGGAGGAGGGATGGGACACGCCGAGTACCAGGCCGAGCTGCAGACGCGACAGGACGCCGTCGACGCGGTAAGGGGGAGGGAGGAGGGACACGCCGAGTACCAGGCCGAGCTGCAGACGCGACAGGACGCCGTCGACGCGGTCAGTATCTGGGCTCAGAAAGCGCTGCGTTTGAGGAGGTGGTTGATGATTGGTCAGTCTGACACTGAATTTTGCTGAAAGCTGGCAAATGGATGTGGTCAGTGTTCGGTTTCCGTCTCTGACTGGCCCGTCCGTCCATTCACAGTTCATCAGTCGCGGCCAGGAGCTGATATCGAGCGGCCACTTCATGTCTACCGACATCCAGGATAAGGTCAATGTGCTGGGGGCTCGCAGGGACCTGCTGGCGCAGACCTGGAAGGACCGGCAGGACATCTACGAACAGAGTCTGGACACTCAGGTACGCTGCCGGTCTCGTGACGGGGAATCGGATATAGCACGGGGGTTAATTGTCAGGTGTTGTGAATTTCAATTGATTGGAATATGAAGATTGATTGTTCCTTGTCCCTCAACCGATTGTGCTCAACCACTACCTATTTGATGAAGGCCATGAATCTACAATCTTTATATTCGTGCAGTTTTGTGATTCATTCTCCGTGATCGTTAAGTCTTTTTCCTCAATGTAGAATCTTCTTCACTTATTACTGAGTGGACTGGGCTCCTTCGTAATTCACCCCGTTCCATGCCCGTGTCTTTTACAGATTTTCAAGCGCGACGCCGCGCAGCTGGAGTCGTGGCTGGAGACGCGGGAGCCGGTGCTGAACGATCCGGCCGTGGGCGCCAGCATCACCGAGGTCGAGGAGCTCATCCGGCGGCACGACGACTTCCTCAAGACCATCGAGTCGCAGGAGGACAAGTTCGACGCGCTCCGGCGTACCACACGGGTGAGGAGAGAAACGGAGTGCCTCAGAGGATGGTAGTGAAGCTGAGAAGGGCAGCGTGAGATCCTAGACTAGGACGGCTGCAGATGCTTAGAAATGAAGTCGCGTTTGCCACCTCAAAAGGCGGCTAGTGTGATATCAGAATCGGTGGGATTGTTCATAGTGGGGGTCCTTTCGTAACGGCGGTGCACAACAGTAGTTCATTTCTATAGTCTCTGATTGTCTCGGTTGACGGTCACGGTCCAGCTCAGCGGTTATATCCCGTCCCCATCTGACAGCTGTGTAGCTGCCCCGTCTCTGTGTCACTGTCCCGTCCGCTGTGCAACTGTCCCGTCTGCTGTGTAACTGCCCCGTCCCCATCTGACGGCCCTCGTTATCCCCAGCTGGAGGAGGCGTTCGCGCTGATGCGCCGGCGCGAGGAGGAGGCCCGGGTGGCCGAGCAGAAGCGCCGGGAGGAGGAGCGACTGCGGCAGATCCGGCAACAGGAGGTCGATAGGATCACTAAGGTGAGCGGACTGAGACATCTCTCTGTAAGATTACAGAGGGGGCGGGTCTGGGTCAGTAGCGGCTCCGGCAGATTCGGCAACAGGAGGTCGATAGGATCACTAAGGTAATTGTCAGACGGCACCGACCTACACGCCAACATATTGTCCTGACCAGCTTGTGCTTTCAATGCGTGCGATGGTCTGTAAACTCGTATTTGGTAGTGTGGTTGGTAGCTGACGATAATTGGGCTGCGTAAGCACTTTTTATCTTTCATGATAACCGTTCTGATTTACCAACATGTCGCAGTTATCCAGGTACACGTCCTGTAATGTATAACATTCTGACGCCGCGTTCCATGTGTGTTATTCCCTTTCCGACGATTGTCGCTGATCGCTGATGTTCCGTTTTCAGGAGCGTCGGTACCTGGAGGTGGAACACGAGGCGGGAGACGCCAGTCCCAGGTGAGGACAGCTCCCTCCCTCTCTGTTACACTCGCCGTCTCTGCTCCCAGCTCTGTCTCGGGGAGTCTTTCAATACAGTGTCACTAACGTCTCTTCTTACTGGCTGTCTCTCGTTCTCGGGTGACTAGAGTAAACTAAAGACACGGCCTTAGTTACATCTTTTCTTACTTGAACCTAAAGGACTTCGAGTTTGATTGGAACGTCGCATGCAATCGGTATCGTGTATAACCGAAATCCCGACATTTTCTTGTGATCGATCTTTCGGGTTCTATTTTTGTAACTAAAACGTTTTGAGCAATGTGTAGTATGTTGTTCTCGCTCTCTTCCGCCTTGTAAGGGCGCCTGCTGTGGCTCTCAGTGTGTAGTTTTGCGCGCCCGCCGTGTTACCAACTGATCGCATGTGACGGACTGTGCTCAGTCTGCGCCGCTCCGGTAGTGCTCTGCGGCGGTGGGACGACGGGTCTCCCTCAGTGACGGGACCGGCCCGGTCGTCCCACCGCCGGCCTGGCTGTCTGTTGACCCTGTGCTCGGACCGTGCCCCTGACCCGACTGACCTGACCTGACCTGACCGGGCGTGGCCAGCGCCCAGCGCCGGGAGGCGGCGCGCGCGGGCGCCTCCTCGAGCCCACACCAGTCGCAGGAGAGCCTGAACCACCAGCCCACTCACCGGGCCTCGTTTCCAGACGTGGCCGCCGAGAGGTATTTGGCGCTCCGCCGCCCGCTCAGATCGCCTAGCGCTAACCGGGCACGGCGGACTAGTGGTGCGGGCGTCCCTAGGTGCTGCTCGCCGGCCGCTGCCTGGCTCTAACGCGCGCGCGCTCGGTGGGCGGTCCGTCCGGTTTTGTTCAGTATGCGGTATGATACAGTACAGACACCCTGCTCGGTCCTTGGTTGTGTATTCGTGTTTTGTTTGGTTCGTGGCTCGGCGTAGTTTTATTTGCCTGCATATTTTCGGCTGCTTGGTGTAAATTTTGGCTAGATGTGATTTTTCGGTCCCGCCTCCGCGTACACAGCATACAATCACTGCCCTGTCGTCACACTGGATATTTTATATTTCCCTACTTTTGATATTACACAAGTGACATTTTTGTCACTCTTGCGCAGTCGTTTCACTTACGCATTTGTTTCACCAGCTTACACAGTTTTGTGTTGCCCCGGCAGTCGCCTCACTTCTGTAGAACGTATCACACCACATTATCTATGTTCGCGGACTGCGGGCTGTGTTGTCGCGGGATTGTGTTTAGTATTGGGATTTTTTATTAGAACCAGAAGTCGCTACGCCGGGTACATATTCACGGGAATATCTGTCACGAACGGCCGATGTCAGTCGGGGATTAAATGTCGGTGCCTCCGTTCGGGCTTGTGACCTTCGAGTGCCCGTGGGAATAAGCTATGGAATGTGAATGGGCTTAGTCGCCATTCTGACCTTCGAGAACCAGCAAGTCGGTCTATTTTTCAGTGATCAGTTATTTGCTGTACAAAGGTGGACTTGCTTTCAGTCCGTGGGCGAAGGACCCCTGTATGCCAGCTGGATACGGTGCCCCTCGCAGCCGGCTTGAATAGCAATTTGTACTAAAATATACTTACGTTAATCATAACATGCCCTAATATATCATCGTGTACAAAAATGGGTTTCCCGGTTTTTGGGTTGTTCATATTTATGTTTTGTTGGCTTGTTAATTTATGTTGCACTTATTTTGGTGGTTCTATTTGTTTCGCTTCAAAGTGGGCCCTGATTGGCTAAAAGCTTTCGTTTATCTAATTCAGCATTTTCATTATACTTACATAACCATTGTATTACTGGCTGAAATTTAATTAATGCGCTGAATGTTTGCAGCTAATAACTTTTCACTAATCTTCTCGCCAATTAACAAATAATAATAATAATTTTTATATAAAATTGATGTCGGAAGGAATATTTGCCCGCCGTTTACATTGGTATGTTTCTAATCGTTTGTGGTTGGTATTGATTCATATGTATTTTGTCTCGTGTCCAACCCGATTTTTGGCGAGTGGGCGCTCGCATACCCAGCCGCCTTACCAGCCCATTCGGTCACACGTGTCGTCTCGTTCGCAGGATGCTGTTGAAGAATCCCATGCTTGCTGAAAAGAAGATGGGGAGCCAGTCAAGTCTTTCTAGTCTTAAGCGAGGTAAGCTCAGAATATGAACCATTCCTGACTGTCCCGTTTGTATCGCTAAACACGGATGGTTCAATGAGTCACTCATTTAAAAGCTGTGTTTGGGGTACGACGTCAGGCCAGCAGTGAGCGCCATCAATGTCCAGCCATCATCTTTCGTTGTTTCCGCCTTAGTCTTCTCCCCGTAACCACATTGCGTGGTAAGTTTTGCCAAGTCTTGGCTCCATTGCTACTTGTCGGTTTCTCTGTCCTTAGTCTCCCCGTCTGACCCCTAAACTAACCTTGTCTGACCCTGAGTTCACCCCTGTCTGACCCTGTTCTGACCTGGCCGGTCTGTGGTTCTAGTGATTCGCCAGGGCTCTCAGATGCTGTTTGGCGGTAGGTGTTGTCGCCCCCTCACCCCTGGCTGTCCGGTTGTGTTGTGGTAGTGTCCGCTCTGGTCGTATAGCCCCCTCAACTGCGGGTAGTCGCTTCCCACTGACTGGACGCTGGTCCGCTTAGCGCCGGCACCGACAGGCGATATCCCCCTCCCCCTCCCGCCACGCGAGTCGATTACCCGAGTCTCTAGCTACCTCGCCCTGCCGAGACGCACGTGTCGTTAGCCCGGCCACCGGCAGACCCTCACAGCTATGAGCACCGCCTAACACTCTGCAGCCCGCCTACGATCTGAGCGCGGCCATTCGCATGGTTGTTCATTTTTCGCGAGCACCAGACGGCGGAGCTGTCGAGTGTCGACTGTGAAGCATGATACTGAAACGTTCATGCGTCAGCGTTCGTTTAGTGTTTGTAGGCATGCGGTATTGAGACTTCAGAGTTTGATATATCGAATATTTGCTTAGAGGGCACTAGTATGTGCACCGATTTATTCGTAGCATATTTCAATCAACAGTATCCGCCGTAAATGCTATGCTGAGTGATCTTGCTTGATGCATAAAATGTGCAATTACACGATGCAAGCTCTGGTTCCCGGCGATAACGTGAGCACCTCTGGTGACCTGTTGTAACCTCTAGTGACCTGTTGTAATCTCTGGTGACCTGATGTATCTTTGAGTGGCCTTCCGCATCCTCTGGTGACCCGCGCTAACCTCAGTTGACTCACACTGACCTCCCCGACATCACCCCAGGTGACGTGAAGCGTGCTGAGAGCATGAAGACGGAGCCGAAGAAGGCCAAGCGGACGCCGTCGTTCACCACTCGGCGGCGGACGCAGAGTTTCCGCAAGGCCAAGCGTCTGGAGGAGCTGGAGAACCTGCCGCCAGTGGAGATGGACGGCATGCTGGAGAGGAAGCAGGAGCTGCAGAGCGGCGGCAAGAAGGCCACCATCCGCAGCTGGAAACACTACTACACGGGTACGTGTCCTGGAAACACTACTACTTCGATACGTATCCTGGAAACACTACTACACCGGTACGTATCCGCAGCTGGAAACATTACTACACAGGACGTATCTGCAGCTGAAGACGCTAACCTAACCTAATCGAACCTTACCTGACCTCACGGTACGCATCCGCAGCTAGAAACACTACACCGGTGCTTAGTTGTGCGTAGGTAATCGTTTTTACAAACTAAATGAAGAAGCACCACTCTCATGTGGTGTCGGTCTTTGACAATTCGGTCTGTGTCGTTGCAGTGCTGTGCGGCCAGCTGCTCTGCTTCTTCAAGGACATGGACGACTTCGCCAACAGCAAGGCGGCGGCACCCCCTCTGATCCTCTACCAGGCGCGCTGCGAGCGGGCGCTCAACTACACCAAGAAGAAGCACGTCTTCCGGTGAGCGGACGGACCGCGCTGCCGTATAAAGGCAAAACCCATTATGTTCGGGTGACCTCTGACCTGAGGTAATGGCCTCTGACCCGACATAATGGTTTTTGCCTTTGCACGGCAGCGCGGCGCGGTGGATACTCTGGAAACGATGGTAGCCAAGGCAAAATTAGCGTTGTCATGAATTTTAGTTGGGTTCTCAAAGGATTCTCATTGGTATCAAAGATGAAAAATAAAATGTGTAATCCCGTGAATATTGCGATTGCTTGAGAATGTCTTTCTGTCAAAGAAAATAAAACTAAGTACTTGTCAATTGGTCGCACATGGTGACCGACCGCGATCCGTCTATTCCAGGTTATCGCCGTCGGACGGCTCCGAGTTTCTGTTCGCCGTCTATAACGAGGAGCAGCTGCAGGAGTGGATCAACAAGATCGAGTTTCACGCGCAGCTGCCGCCGTCCCAGCAGCTGCTCAGCTACGATCGGCAGACGGTGAGGCCGCCGGCGACGGCTCACAGCGGTCGCCGGGTCTGCGCGGGTCTCCGCAGACTCACAGCCGGGGTGGAAACTGACACTGTCCGCGTTATAAACGGACTGTATAGCATGGAGAGGGTGCCTGAGATAACGCCTGCCATTGCCGTGGTTTGATTAATTGGACTGCTGCATTGAACTGAACTGAACTGAAGTGGACTAAAGACGCATGACTGATATCGGACTGTAATTGCATCGTGGTATGTTACGTGCATCGTGACGTTAGAAGGAAAGTATGTAATCCGAATCCACGCACGGTCTTGCGGTGATGTCTAGTGACTGTTCGACGGTTTGACGCACGTCTCGATCTCTCTGTCTGATGTCACGGACGACGGTAAATGCCTCTCGAAGGACTTCTTCCCTAAGCTGTGGGCACATGTCTGAGGTCTGTTCAAATGCCGCTGAGCTGGCAGCACGCCCTCGCGTTTCACTTCCCTGACTGGACGAGTGGACGCATGACAGCGGACTGCACGCACAAGTCGCCACCCCGTCCGTCTGTGCCCCTGGGGCCGACCAGTGCCGATGTCTCACTGCCTGACCCGGGACCGGGCCGCCCCCCCCCCCCCCGCCACCGTCGCTATAACACGGCCCGTAACGCCACGCTGCTATAAACCGCGCAGCCCTTTTGACGCTATCCAAAATGTGCTGGCTAGCCCGAAATTCGCGAGCTTTTCAGCAACCCATGTTACAGTCTTAGGCAGCAATAACAATTAACATTACGTCTTCGCTTTATCAAAGGACAATGTAAATTTTGAAATACACAGCTTTTGCGACTAACTCGAAGTGACCCATTTTGAATTTATTTTCCAGATAATGCTGTCAATGAACAGCTGTGTATTATATATTATATTGGATGTGTCATACGACTTGCGTCGTTTCAAACCATCCGTACTACTGACCAACATATTTACTCGTTCTGTAAATTGTTTTTAAACTATCGAACCGGCCCTATACCTGGCGCCGTGAGACCGGGTGTAAATATTCCCCGGGCGGTGGCTGGGCGGGGGCGGGAGCGACTCCCTGCATGGTGCCTGTGAATGCGGTGTGCTGCGCTCGCCGGCTGAGGTGGGCGCGGGTATCGCGCGCAGGGTCTGCCCGGCGGCGGGGCAGACGGCGGCAGCTCGTGTAGCAGTGCCGAGCCGTCGCCGGCGCCGGTCCGGCACCGGCACTCGGACCCAGCCGAGCCCGTCTACGCCAACCTGCCGACACCGCAGCAGCGGAGACACACCGGTCAGGTAGGTCTGATACAGCACGCCGATCTGCCGATCCCACGGCGGAGACACACCGGGCAGGTAGGTCTGATACAGCACGCCGATCTGCCGATCCCACGGCGGAGACACACCGGGCAGGTAGGTCTGATACAGCACGCCGATCTGCCGATCCCACGGCGGAGACACACCGGGCAGGTAGGTCTGATACAGCACGGCGATCTGCCGATCCCACAGCGGAGACACACCGGGCAGGTAGGTCTGATACGGCACGGCGATATGCCGATCCCACAGCGGAGACACACCGGGCAGGTAGGTCTGATACGGCACGCCGATCTGCCGATCCCACAGCGGCGACACACCGGGCAGGTAGGTCTGATACGGCACGGCGATCTGCCGATCCCACAGCGGCGACACACCGGGCAGGTAGGTCTGATACGGCACGCCGATCTGCCGATCCCACAGCGGAGACACACCGGGCAGGTAGGTCTGATACGGCACGCCGATCTGCCGATCCCACAGCGGAGACACACCGGGCAGGTAGGTCTGATACGGCACGGCGAGACGGTACGAATCGGCCGACCGGCGGGCAGGACGTAAGGTTTTTACAGCACAGCGAGACGGGCGTTGACCCCCGGAGCTGGCGAGGATAGTGGGGCAGCCATCCTGCTCAAACTACACCGTTCCGTGCTTTCATCCTCAGGATACTGAAATCCTTCTCCTCCACGCCGCAACCCCCCTCCGGACTGGACAGGCAACTTTATCTCATGCGGGCTGCTCCCTTGGAGCGGCACCGCTGCTCCCGAGGGAGCGCACCCCGTAGCCGGGTGCAGTGAGTGCCTTGGGGCTGGGTGGCCTGTCCTCTGGACGGGCTCAGCCCCGGCGACTCACTAGGGTGCCTGCCCAGACCAATGTCTCCCCCTATATCCTATCATCCTCCCGGGTCTGAAATGGTCTCATTGGACCGAAAGGGCCTAACCCAACAAAACAAACAAACAAACAAAGCTCAAACTAGGTAGGGAGGTCAGTTGAACCAACCTGGGCTGGTACAGTTTGGCGGGACCAAAATAACGCTTCACGTAACCCAACAACAAATGCTGTATACAATACATTGTACATGCTGGATGTGACGGCTAGAGTGAACTTAACGTGTACAGTTACTCTACTTACAGTAACTTATCTACGGTAATGAAACGATTGTTCAATTGATCGGTATTGTACTCTTTGATGTAAGATAGTCCTGACGCGCAATGTTTTTCGATAGTCAGTAGATTGTCATTGTAATCCATCTCTATATTTAGTGTCGCTGTGTGGGCGGACGACTCGGTACCCTGGTACCTACCTCAATCCTAGTCTGACCCTGCGCCTCACCACAGGATCCCTCACTGCCGCCCGTGCCGCCGCGCGGAGCCTCGTCCAGCCCGCCGGCGTCGCGGCCACCGCCCTCGACCGCCGGCGCCGCCGAGGGTCCCATCTACCAGAACCGGGTGTCGGTGCTACCGTCTATTGGTGAGTGGGAAAAGAGACACGATCGCTTGAACCCAACTCTTGAACAGATGAGTGTTCGGCCATTACTCTCGATTGGATGGGTGGCTCTGACTGTCCTATGCTGCAACCCGCTTGGTGTGAGGCCGGCCCGTGACGGTGATGTCCGTGCTGTTACAGAGGTGGACGTTCAGGAGAGGAACGGTGTGCGCCGGCACTCCTCCAACGCGCGACAGTCGTCCCAGAACGGTGAGTGGCCGCGACCACCAGTGATAGAGGTGGTGAGGAGGTTACGAGTTCATACCAAACCACTGTGCCCCTGTCTAACTGTGCCTGATAGGCCCTCAGTGTGTCTGTCACTGTGTCCGCTGTCTGACAGCCCAGCGCCAGCTGATTCACCCTCTGGTTCCCCTCAGAGCCGTCGCCGCCGCCACTGCCGAGCTCGGCGCCGCCCCCCTCGGTCGCCCACCGACTGCAGGGAGGCGTCTCCGCTGTCGACGGAGGTATGGACTCTGCCCGCCTTTCACAGTCTGGGACTCGGGTATAGGAATACTCGGCCAGTGGACGCTGCACGAGTCATGGCGAGCTAGTCAAAACAGTGGTCTAGGCGGCTTGCGTATCGCATAATTTGCTGTCAGAGGTTACTGGTTAGCTTTGAGTGGAATGGAAGCGCCGATAAGACTGTGTCGTTGCCCGGTCTGGCCCTCCCTCCCCTTCCCTCCCCCAGCAGCGGGTGGTTTGCGGCAGCGGTTGCCGTCAACTGTTCCGACCACCTCCCCTCCCCTGGTCCGACCCCACCACCCGGCGCCGTGTGACGTTACGGTTTTATTTGACCACCCTCCCCCGCCCTCCGACAGCGGGTGACGTGCGGCAGCGGTCGCCGCACGGTGACGCCGGCCTGCCACCTGGCGGCGGCGCGCCGCACTACGCCGGCCGGACCGGCTCGCTGCCCTACGGCCAGCAGCCGTCTCCCTCGGGCAGCAACAAGTCGGCCACGCTCGACCAGAGGTGGGTTCACCGGCGGCGCGGGCGGGCGGCAGAGGGGACGACTGTGTAACTATATTATGGGGTCTGGTGATCCTGGGCAATGACTTTCGATAGCCTGCCGCCATAATGTGTGTGGAGCGGCGACCATCCCCAGTCTAAAACTCTTGTGATTGCCGGACGCGGACCCAGCCTCTCGTCATTGATGAACTGACTGTCTTTCAATATTGGCCTCGTGTCGTCTCAGCTCACGGCACAAAACTGACCCCCCCCCCCCCCCTCCCGCAGGAACGGCAGTGAGAGTGGCAGCGAGCACGACCAGGACCGGCGCTCGTCCAAGCGCAGCTCCGTGTTCGGATTCCTGCGTCGCAACAAAAAGGACAAGCAGCCGGCCCAGGTGTAGTCGCCGCCGCCCGCCGCCGGGCCCACCGCCCGCCACCAATGTATTGGAAAGTGCAAATCAACCGCGGAGAGAGAGATTGAAACGGTATGCTTGTCCTTGATGCTTAGTACTCAGTTGTCGATACGGGCTTGCAAGTTGCCTATTTAAATGTTACGCGCGGCTTGCTTATGATCGATCGCCACATTTTATGTCGTTCCTGGTTTAAAGAAGCTTACGTCTTTACCTAAGTTGATTAGTTTGGGTTTGCCAGAGTGATTTTTGTTTGAGGCGCGCGAGTCGCATGATGACGTTTGAGTTGCGAAGACGGAGGTCAATGAATACCAAATACCTGACGTTTGTTGGATCCGTATAGATATTTAATTTCCGCTATACCGTCTCGCACAGTGCCTTCGACTTTGTACAATACAATTAGTCAATTTGCGCATTCTATCCTCCAACAATATATAAATATATATTGTGCTGTCGAGTTTAATTGGGATGAGGAGGAGGCATATGCGCAGCCCTGAGAACGTTTCACTGTATTGACTAGATTCGCACTGAGAATGTACAAACGTTGAGATCAAACATCACAGTCACAGTGGCCTCAGGTCTCGGTCCGCTTCAGCCACGGCCAGACCGGCAGATTCGCCACCATTCACAGATGGATTTGGGCGCCCGGTGCCAAACAACACCACGAGGCACGATTATCGGCCTGACTTTCCCTGGGAATAGACCACTACGGGCGGTAGTATGTGGATGAGCCGCCCAGTCAGACTGAGCGTTACTGGACGGAGTCGGCGTATGTGTGGACGGAACCCGTGCGCGCGTCTGTGGATGGTCAGTCAGTGTACCGTAAGGTGGGGCTATTTGAGACAGTGGGGCTATTTGAGACAGTATTTAAAATCGTTATAAAATAAAAACCGTTTGAAATTTTTGCTTAATTTTTGCTCAGGCGAATTTACTGCTCGATTCCACACCTTCCTGAGCAAAAATATCACATAAAAATCAAACGCTCTTCATTTTATAGCGATTTTAAATACCGTCTCAAATAGCCCCACTGTCTCAAATAGCCCCACTTTACGGTATTACAAAAATGAAGTCAATGTGGGTGTCGGGATTCAGTGTTTGGTTTTGGTGTGACTCTGCGTCAGTATCTTGATTTGTGGACGGAGTCGATGTGTGTGTATGGATGGGTAAATGTGTCCGTGGATAGGACGTGTGCCCATGGATTGTGAAGTGTTGTGTAGCGTCTCACCATCCAACCAATGTCAAGATCAGAGTCGGTCCATGCGACCGATATCACCCCGCTGCACTGAAAACGTGTCGCGGGGAACCCCGATTGGTAACTTCTCTGAATGTCCCGCCCCTGAAATGAGGCGAAAAGCCAACAAAATGAACACAGAGTTCGTCCCAACGATAACTGGGACGTCGCTCCAACAGCTCGCTCTCACACAGCCGCGACAGCCCACCGATCTCGTATCCTTGCTCTCGCGAGCCTTCTCACCAGCGAGATCCCGATAGTTTTGCCCCATACCTCGCAGCTCAGTCTCAGTTGTCTGGTGGAGCGCGACCATTCGCAGTGCCTCCGGCCGCCGCGTCCGTCCGCGCTACAGCTTCCAGCGCGGCCCGTCCATGGTGGTGGATTTGGTGGCCGGCCGGGCCGCACGCAGGTCCGAGGAGTGCACGGAGCGTGTGGACCGACTGCTGGCGGCGCCCCGCGGCGACTCTGTGTGAACGGAGGGGCGTCAGCGGTACGGCAGGATATACACTACACAGGGTGGACGGTCCTGCTATGGTGGGAGGGTACGATGCCGACACGCGGATGAAAGAACAGTACGAACGGGCCGAATAACTTATAGGAAAGTAATACCGCATATAATATGGCCAAAAGTAAAGTATATGAATGGCTGATGGTAAAGTAATGAAAAAACAAGCAAATGTCACAGCTCACCCACAAGCTGTTGTGTATTCTTATGCTCTATCTACTAATACCGGAAAGCGTGGCAATGGATAAACATCGCTCTCCGCCACATATTCACGATAGCCCCTGTAATCCAGCCCATACACGTCCAGCTGTGCCCGGACGGATTTCCTCTCCCCCTCACTGACCGATGGTAGTGTAGAACGTGTCCAGCGCCACGCTCAGAGCCTCGATATCGGCGGCAGTGAACCGATCCCGGTCACCGGAGGTCAGCAGGCCCTGCGGGAACTTCCTCCGAGCCACCTGACGGAAAACAACACGTACCAGAGTTAAGCAGGCTCTGCGGGAACTTCCTACGAGCCACCTGATGGAAAAATGAAAATTAAACATCAATAATTCGTTTTTGTGATTGTAGTACATACACATAATCCGAGTCCTCTGACAGTGATAGGTACTATGTGGCTTCCAAAAGAACCCGCAGTGTGTAATATGGTATAGCTCAATGCATAAAATACTTTTTCCAATGCGCAAGGCCAGCGTCACCCTGATTCCGTACAGTATCCGGCACCCAGACCCAGCAGACTGTCGCCCCCCATATCACCCTTCCCGCCTGTACCACCGTTCGTACCTTGAGCCCACCGCTGAGAATGAACACGTTGTCGTAGCCGCGCTGGGCAAGCGTGGTGGCGCAACGCTGGGCAGTAGCCTCGTCCTCGTCATAGACGACCACCAGCGCGTCCGGGGAGCGCTTGTAGCGCCACATCTCGGCCGTCTCGTAGTTCATGGTGCGCGCCAGCCGAGCGGCCGGGTAGTGGCGCGCCGTCACGATGTGCTCGCGCTCGAAGTCGGCCCGCTCGCGCACGTCGAGCAGCAGGTACGGCTGGTCGTCGATGGAGGGCGGCGCCGGGGCGGCCGGAGCGTCCCCGGCCGAGAGTGACAGCTCGCCGGTGCCCTCCACCAGACTGTCGGCAACCAGAGGGAGCTGAACGGGAGGGAACAGCGGGTGGGGAAGCTGAGCGAACCACAGGGAGCTGAGCGGGCGGTTGAGCGCGTGACAACTGACAACAGATCACAAACATTCAGCTCATATGAGGTAGCGGCAGTGGGTGCCAGGAGCGCCGATCTGCGCCCGGGACCGCCCTCACCTCTGCAGATCGGCGCGCTTCTCATGGTCGGCGTCCTTGTGCGCCGGCGGCGGGGGCGGTCCGGCGGAGCCCACCTCCTGCTGGAGGCGCGCCACCTCCACCACCAGTGTGACCAGCGTGGCCGCCTTGATGCGCCGGAACAGCTCGTCGGCGCGCACGTGGTAGTACTGCTTGATCAGCTCCAGCGCCGCCTGCCGCTTACGGACGTTCGGACCTGCGGTGAACGGGAGTCAGGGGATGGAAAACGGCCGCACAGACAACACCCCTAGCCACCACCTGCCACTGAATACAGACTAACCTGGGTTACTGACAAATGAAGAAGGCACACAACAACTGCACATCAAAGACTTTTGAAATTGATGAAACATGCAATGATCCTAGATTATCATGTGCATGAAGAATAAATGAAAACTTATTTTACACAACCAGGTGATTGCAACTGCTGTGATCTTGAAGCATTAAGGTGACCTCACCTACCTGTGTCAATTACAGGAGACACCTTCTTGTACTTCTCACAGCTTTTCGGTGGTGCTGGCAAGGGCTGAAAAAGCAAGATATTTATATTGAGGCTATCAAAGCATATCAGCAATATCTCCATAAATTTAACAGCAGCATTGAGCACACATCTCATACATGAAAATGAGATGTAATAAAAAAATAAGATATGTTTACCTTTGGTGTTGTCTGTTTTTTGGCTTGAATTCTTTGACGCATAATTGAAATAAGCAGCAGCTTTGAAATTAATGATAGAGCAATATCGTTATTGCACGACTCAAGACAACCAGTTGGATTATAGGCCTATACAGTCCAATTTATGATGATGAGTTTGACAAAGTCAACTGCCAGGGCCTGCAAGAAAGTGTGGTCATAACCTTCATAAGATAATTGATTTCAATTTGGGTCAACTATATAATCAAAACCGAAACTGAAACGGCAATCAGTTGGCAGTGGCCAGTGCTAAGTGTGAATTAGTGTCGAAGCCGCATTATTTTTCCGGTGATGCTACTTGCTTCAGTCGAAACTATGACCACCCTTATTTTGTTATTTCCCATTTTATTCTTTTATCTTGCTTAATCTACCACCCTCCTCGCACTTTACAAGCCGCCCGGCCCGCCGCGTGTAGAGATACAGGCGTTTGTTTGTTTACGTCGGTTACGTCTCAAATTCGCAGTATCACTTCAAAGCACATGATTCGGTTATTTGACGTCATGAGCTCGGCAAATCACACTGTGCTGTCTGACCCCTTTGAATATAGGTATTTGGCATCGAGAGTTCATCGAGATGAGAAAAGTTAATGAAAGTTAAAATAGCAAGTTTTGCCGTCATGCATGCAAGATAGGCACGTTTTTAATACTAAGGAATTCAAAAACCTTTCATCTGTTTTCCAACTTTTCATTACGTCATTACATTTCTAAAACAATAAATTGGATGTCTTCCGTCATCGTGATCGTCCGTATTCGCCGCGGGGATTCCCTTTTACATGGGTGGTGTCCTTTGGTGAGTATGTGTGCTATCTAGTTGGTGCTTATTATTTGCTTAGTAATGTATAGAATAAGATATTTTTCTGAGAAATCCTTCCTAGTTTATCATGAGTCAACTGTCTGTCAGTATGGTACCAGGTCTTGTCCTTGTCACATCATTTGGATCACATTTTTTCGGCCAATAAAATAATGGTGTATTTTCTCCCTTATGTTTTTATTTCACAAATTTCTGGCAGTTCTCAGGATGTTGCTAAGGGCTGATGCAACCTCAGACTTTATTCTACAACTTAAATGGTTCAAGAGTATGCTGCTGGTAACGTGCAAGGCATGAAACATCTTTGATAGGAGTTATATAACAACTGACACAGAGTACAGACTGTCTGAGATCGGACGATGGTGAAAACAGGGCGCGTGGGGCGATTTAATCAAGGTTCGTGATATTCACACGTGACGTTTAGCATGTATGTAGAAGGCCCACGGAGGGGAGAAGTCCTAAATGTCACGTGACTAATATGCCCTCCGGAGTCCTGCGCCCTGTTTTCACCGGCGTCCCTGAGATTGAGATGTTTCTTTGGGTGGGAAACGACATACTAATGAAAATAATTATTCACTCTGACCCTCAATTTTGAGAGCCATTTCCACTCACAATTTTACAGTGAAAAACATTTGTGTGCTTACCTGGTTTACTTACCTGGTTGGGTTCCAATGTCCGACTGTGAGGGAATGGCAATTTAGGAAGTTGAGGCAGGGAGTGGACTACGGAACCCCAGAAACATAAGGCGCGCCAAACAGTAGTGCTGGAATGTCCTATGAGCACAATCATAAATAAACTGTCTGGAAATGTGCGCCTCACAACAGTAATTGACATGTAGCATATACTAGTTTCCTAAGATGAGACAGTAAGACATGGTATCAGCCATTACGAGAAACAGTACAATGAGTCATTCAGTTCACTGTCTAGTTTTCCTTTAAATCGCGATACATTGTCCGCGCATACAGCTTCCGCAGAGAGAGAGTTCCATACAGATATACACCTACGAGAGAACGAGCGCTTCCTTACATCGGTTCGCAAGGTCGAGGGAAAAATTTTGTAGCAGTGACCTCGGGTCCGAGATTGAGGAGGCTGTAAGAACAAGTCAGCTGGCTTGATGATCGACTTACCATGAAAAATTTTCCAGCATTGAATGAGGTCAGCACGGAGCAGCCTTCCCTGGACCGAGTAGAGGTTTAGGGCTCTCAGTCTGTCACCATAGGATAAGGACTGCATACCGGAGATGCGTTTAGTCCATCTTCGCTGCACACTTTCCAGTAGCTTAAGGTCCTGGACATATCCGGTGTTCCAGACGCAAGAACAATATTCAATAACGGGGCGTATATGTGTGGTTAAGAGAAAAAGCATAAACTTGGGGGACCGGCACACCGTCGACTTTAGAAAACTGTATGCTAGCCCGCCTGCCCTGTGAGTGACTGATCTGACATGGTCATGAAACTTCAGGTCCGTGTCTACCAAGACTCCCAAGTCCTTAGCCGAAGAAGCGTGTGGGATGTGATTGCCATTGAGGATGTAGGTTGGGACAGGTAGTTTCGATGAGGATCTAGGGAAACGCAGTACAACACACTTTGCCACATTCATATGCAGTCCCCACGAGTCAGCTGTAAAGTGGAGCTCGTCAATATCACGTTGCACATCTGCTTGGCGTAAAGCTGTGGACGAAGTAGGGTGATTAACACAGGCATACACTTTGAGATCATCAGCAAAAATTTTGTAATTACATGCGAGCTGTGCGCCAACGCTGTTAATATATATAAAAAAGAGCAGAGGGCCCAAAACGGATCCTTGCGGCACGCCACTCAGTACCTCTCTTGTCTTGCTCAGCACACCATTAATACTTACTCTCATATGGCGGGAAGTCAGAAAAGAATGTATCCAATGTAATATGTTACCATCAACCCCTATGCATTTCAGCTTGGATATCAATATGCTATGAACGACGACATCAAAGGCCTTGCTAAAGTCGAACAAGATTACGTCTATAACGCCTCCCTCGTCAACACATTTTGACACATGGTCATACACGAGTAGTAACTGGTCCATTGTGGATCTGCCGGAACGAAATCCAAATTGGTTAGGAGATAGAATGTCATTGTTCTCCAAGAACACAGTGAGGTGATCAGCAATGATGCGTTCTAGGGTTTTGCCACAAACAGAGGTTAAGCTAATGGGACGATAGTTAAGCGGATCGTAGCGTGGTCCTTTCTTAAAAATAGGAATAACTGCTGAACGCTTCCAGTCGTCAGGCACAACCCCCTCTGCTAAAGAGCGGGTGAAGATAGTGCACAGAGGGTAAGCGATGTGTGGGGCACACTTGTTCAGCAGCAGGGGATGCAGATTGTCAGGTCCCATAGAAGAGCTGCAATCTAAAGAGTGCAGGGCTTTGAGAATGGACTCAATCGAGAATGAAATGGGGTCAATGACACAATCAGCACGTTGGTAGGGACGAGGATTGGGAGGGGCGACCGACGAGTACACGGAGGCAAACGAGGAAGCAAACACCTCGACCATCTCACCGGGTGCGTCGGTGAGCTGTCCTGACTGGAGTCTGATTGGACCGACTGAGGGTCGACCCACCTTCTTCCGACGAATGTAAGTATGTATAGCCTTGGGATTGTCTTTGGATTGAAGGAAGAGGTTCTCCTCATACTCTGCCTGGCGAGAAACCGCAAAGCTCCGGTAACGGTTGTTGACAGACTTAAAGGCAGAATATGCGGCAAATGACTCGCTAGAGCGACGACCAAGACGCGACCTGACGTTCTTATAATGCAACCAAGCTGAGTGTCTTTGGTTGATCAAACTGTTTGGAGGCCGCTTGAGCCAAGGGGGATTGTCATCACCACGCTTTGGTATCACTGGTACAAATTCATCGGTAAGTTGCTGAAGGATACCAGCAAAACGTTTAAAGGAGCTATCTGCGTCTAAATGGGCCAATTCAAAGTCCCAATCAATAGAGGCTAAGTGGGAGGATATCGCAATATAATTACCTTTAAACCAATGCTTGTGCTTGGCACCGGTAGTCATACTAGCGTCTGGTACATCCAGAGAGAAGGCATATTCAAACTTGGTGGGGCTGTGGTCACACCCAGGGATAGGAGGGAGAACTTCTACCTGCCCAATTCGATCTGACTCAGAGGTGAGGACGAGGTCTAGTATGTTTCCGGACCTCGGGAAGGTAGGTTCTCGTACCCACTGGTGTAGTCCAAGCGAGGAGAATGCGTCCAAGAAGGAGTGGTCGGTAGCATTGGATGCTGTCGGAGGGTCAGAAAGCCAGTTGATCGAGGGAAGGTTGAAGTCACCAAGTAGTATGACCTCTCCGTCCGAGCAAAAGTCATTGATGAGGCTTAGAACTGAGTTGTTTGAAACAATCGAGTACGAAGGAGGTCGGTATACAAGAAGACAATACACATTGTATGCGGTAAGGTGCACTGACAGCGTGTTTGGTAGGGGTCTGCAAAGGGAGTCAGTCATAATGTGTTCTGCTATGTATACACATACACCGTGTTTGGCGACGCTTCCTGCAGTGTCATTTCTCAGAAGACTGTAACCAGGGATTGTTACAAAGGAGTCAGCTATTTTGGGTAACAAGTGGGTCTCAGTAACACAAATTATATCCCATCGGTCTACGGTTGCAGTGTGGTTTAAAAGGTGGAGCTTTGATGACAGGCCATTTATATTAACATGCACGATTTTTAAAACTGTTGTGGCACTAAGTCTGGGCTGATTCACTGTAGGGGCATTCCACGTCAAATCGAACAAAAATCGGCTGTTTTGCACCTTACCATCAGCGATTTCATTATAAATTTGTGAGCGAGTTCCTGTGTGGCACCGGACATTACATTGATGTTTTTTTGCACATTCTGACCACAGGTCTTCTAAATATAGGGCATCCAATTTTTACAAAATGTTGCATCTTTATATTTTTGAGCGACCATAACTTTGGTTGTACTTGTTTGATTTGAATGAAATAAACCTTACTGTTTAGGTAATTTCTTAAGCATTTGTTTATAATTGCACCTACTTAAATATATGACCTTGAAATTTGCTTAACTCACAAATATTGAAATAGCAAAAAACACGTCACCTTCGATTTGGCTCATTTTCATGTATTTTATTGCCTACCATATTCTTAACAACCTGTGAAAAAATTGGAGTGGGCCATTCATAAGTTTTGAAGAAAATTGCACATATGCAAACGTATGTTAGCACGCGCAGTGGAGGGGGAAGAGCGAATTTCGCCCACCCCTCCTGTTTTTCGCCAATATCTCATAAGATTATTGCCAAATTAATTATGGCTACCTGTCAAGAATTGAATTGGACATCTCATCGTGCAAGCAATAAGAAAATCGGTTCACAACTGTTCTAGTAATAGCGGTGTAAAGTGAACATCCTGTCGCCGCAGCGACGCGGCGACTCGGCAGCCGGCGCCGACCGCTACGCGCCGCCTGAATTGTAGACTGTGCCGGGACGGAACGGAACGGTTCCGTCTTTACATCGCGCTCCCTACCGCTGATTACGTTCGATTCGCGTCAAATTTTGTGAGAAGACTAAGAAATGTACAGGCAATCTTATGGTGAAAGAATTTTGAAAATCGGTTGGTAAACAATTGAAATATGAACGTGTAAACACAAAATTGTGATTGCTGCGTTTCCCGCATCGGCCGAGCCCGCCTCAGCCGGCGACTTAGCAGGCCTCTAACTGCCATATTTATTATTGGATTAAGTAGAAATTCCCCATACATACTAAAAAATGTATGTTCTTTCGGATAGTGAAGATCAAAAGACGTGAAGATATCGTTGCGTGATAATGTTTTCGTTGAATTTACTTCATGATGCATTTCCACACGGCTCAAAATTCACCGCAAAATACCGTTTGCCTGAGACACTTTTACTATGGAACGTGACTGCTTGACTACGATGACTATGCATTTCCATTCTCGCAGAGTTTGGGATATCACTAATCAGCAATCATTCATTTCAGAAAGTGTACACAAGCAAGCATGTCTTGACTCTGTCTTTCAAGGTCACGCGCGGTTGCGTAATGTTGATGCATGAAAACGGCGTTTGCCGCGAAAGTTATGAATGGCCCACTCCAATTTTTTCACAGATGGTTAGGAACATTGTGACGGACATAATATGTAAAAATTACCCAAATCGAAGGTGACGTGTTTTTTGCTATTTAAATTTTTCTGTTTTAATTCAAGGTCAAATGCATTTCAAGGTCACTTCAATTTAATTTTATAATTAAAAATCAAAGCCTTATCAATTGCCTATAAGACCCTGTTAATATCATTTTGATACCAGAAAAGGAACCAGAGTTATAGCCATTTAAAAAATTGATGTGTGGCATTTTTCGCTATATTCGATGAGCTATATCTCAGCGATGCGTTATCAAATTTCGAAAATATTATACGTAACTCAGTTTTAAACCATGCCCAGTCTGCCTACAAATTTTCAGAAAAATCGAAGGGGATGACGGATTTCGGTGTTTGATTTGACGTGGAATGCCCCTGTAGGAGTGTCTAAGCACGAAGGGAGTTTCCCGGGTCAGCAGAAGGGGTGCCACCCTGGGCGTTGGTCTCTGTCCTGGGTGGGGCCTGAGGGGCGGAAACATGAGGCTGTCCATTGGCCTCTTCTCGCCTGGCTTGTCTACGGGCAAACAGCTCAGCCCTCTGGGCGTATGTCAGGTCTCGTGAGATGTAGACGCCATGGTAGTCTGTCCCCCTCAGTGTCTTTGAATTGTCTAGGACCCGCTTGCGCACTTCATCGTTCAGGAGCTTAGCTCTGAAAATGTTGGAATGACCAGGGATAGCTGTCACATCTGAAAGAGTAACTGAGATGTCCATGACACTCTGAGTGAGTTGGGAGAACTTTTGTGTGAAGTCTCTGGGTGAGCTGGCAGGAAGACCCTTTACTATGATAGAAGAGCGTCTTTTCTCTCTTTCGTTCATCTCCTGAATTTCTTTCCGGATGGCAGTTTGGTAGGCAGGATTGGGTTTGGAGGCTGAGTCAGTAGCACTTGGAAGAGGTGCTGGAGCTTGGGCTGGGACTGGAGCAGGAGCAGGTCTAGAGGCCAGTTCTGTCACTCGGTCCGTGAGATTCTGCACCGCGCTGCACAGCCCCTTCATCTGCTGGAAAATCTGATTGACTAGCTCAATCACAAGGGGTTGAGTACCACCAGTTGATGAGCCATCAGTTTCAGTCTGAATCCTGCACTTCGTGCACACAAAATTAATCCCTCTCCCACCATACTCCTTGATAGCATCTAGCAGGTTTTGGGGAAGCCCCGAACACATCTCAGAGTTGTGTACCCACATCTTACACTTGTCACAACCGATAGCCTCATTACCAGCATCATTGGAGCAAGTCATGCATGCATCCTCCGCTGAGTCCCCCTTGGGGGATCCAGAGGCGGACCCAACACCGCCGGAACCATCACCCTTATCCTTTTTCGCCACACTGCTCTTGCGCTTAGCCATATTAGCTTCCTCAGAGGATGCAAATGAGAGTTGAGACAGATATCAATAGAAGAATTCAAGCAGCCAAGCAACAGATACAAAACACCATGCAACGTACACACACAAACACAAAAATAGCCGGGGTATAAATCAAAGCCCACAGGCCTGGCGCAGAGCAGCTCAGGTAGGACAAGTAGCTGGAGCGAACTCAGGCAAGAAGCAGGTGACGAATCTAGGACAGGATGGGTGCGGACTAGCAGTACTTCCAACCAGGTGGCGTGTGCTGTAGTAGCATGCAGAGATGCAGCGTGCAGGGCGTACACCAGGCAGGCAGCACACCAGACAGCAGCAGCCAATGCACCAGGCAGCAGCACCCAGTCAGAAGTTCCAGTGGATGGTTGTTATACTTTACTTCCTACCCTACTTCCTGTACCACCCATGTGTGTAAATTTATGCTATTAATCCTTTTCCCTCTCTTTTTGGATCTTATCTTTCTCACGATTTTCCACCCTCTTATCCCCATTTTTGGTGAGGTATTGCCTTTGACACCCAAGCTTATATATAATTTTGAGACACTGGACATCAAAACCAATGACAATCAGGACATGAGAGTGTGCTGCATTAATTGGCATTGGCATGAAAATAAAAGCCTTTCAAGCTTTCCAAAATATTATTTTCTGGGTAGGTAACTCATTTTTATGCTCAATGCCTTCAGCTTGCAGTCTGTAGATTATTTTCATCCAATAGAACATGCAGGTCACTGATCACCTTCTGGCATCCACAGACCCTCACAATGAAGATCGACGAGGTGCCCTCAGCGGGCAGCGCGCCCGCGGCCCCGCTGGCCACCCCAGAGCAGCTGCGCGCCATCGGCGCCGTGCTGCGCGACCCGGCCCGGCCGCTCAAGGAGCGGTTCCGCGCGCTCTTCACGCTGCGCAACCTGCCGGGCGCGCAGTCGGTGCAGCTCATCAGCGAGGCCTTCTCGGACGAGTCGGCGCTGCTGAAACACGAGCTGGCCTACTGCCTGGGCCAGATGGGCGACCGGGCCGCGCTGCCCGTGCTCACCACCGTCCTGGAGAACACCGCCGAGAACCCCATGGTCCGACACGAGGCCGGTCAGTGGGGGCCATCGCACGGTCATCTGAGGGGACCGCGAACCTTTTCTGACAAATTTAGGTAGTATCTGTTCGATCAGAACATATCAATGCTTGGCTACGTTATATTTTCATTTAGCAATCACTTGCAGACTGCAGTTCCGGTATTCTGTCCGCCGATAACCGCCGCAGTCCGGGCGCAAATCTTCCCAAATCATCATCATCGCGCACTCAGTCTTACTCTGTAGATTCCCAACAGGTTTCGTTGAAGAAATCCCAGAGGCACCTGTGGTTGGCTGACACTTTGCTGGGCGTGTCCGCCAGGCGAGGCGATGGGCGCCATCGGTGACCCCTCCGCGCTGCCGGTGCTGACGCGCCTGTGCTCGGACCCCACTCCGGAGGTGGCCGAGACCTGTCAGCTGGCCGTCCGGCGGATAAAGTGGCTCCAGGACGAACAGGTAAGACCGGTGTGAAGGATACTCAGCTTACAGACGTTCCGACAAGAGTGCATTAAAAATATGACTGCGACGAGTTTTGACCGTCGTTTGACGGCCGCCGGTCATCGCCGTTTCCCAGCTAGCTATGTAGATAATAGATATCGTTGTCAAGGAGCATTCGTCTATTTTATGTAAATTGTAGACGAATTCCATTCCTCCTAACGCTAAGCTCTAGCTGTGATAAAGTTCGTTTCCCGATCTTTCATAATGCTTCTCGAAATGGCGCACGGATCTTTTTCCTCATTAAAATACACGTCAAGCACGTAGCCCGTCATTCTGACTCGTGCTCTCGCCGTCTTCAGAGCCGCAAGGAGCGTCTCAGTGAGAACCCGTACGCGTCCGTGGACCCGGCGCCTCCTGCCGACGAGCCGAGCCAGCTGAGCTGCGCCCAGCTGCGCGCCACTTTGCTCGACGACAGCGTGCCGCTGTTCGAGCGTTACCGCGCCATGTTCACGCTGAGGAACCGCGGCGACGCCGAGAGCGTCACAGCCCTGGCCGACGGTGGGTGACTGAGGGGGGGGGGATAGCTGGGGCGGCGCTGAGAGCGTCCCTGTCCGACAGTGGGTGGCTGGGAGGAGGGGAGGGGTGAGGAAGACAGGAGGGCAACAGCGCTGGGTGACGGTGGGTGACTGACAGGGGGTATCAGTCTGGGGGAGATTGTGGTTCACTGGCTGCCGGCGACTCGGAAGGATGCTGTCAAGCCTAACGTTTGCGTTGTGTTTAGCAATTAAACACCGCCTACGTCTTTCTTGAGGTACGTGGTTCAGTTTAGATGTGCATGGATGCTTTATGACGAAGCACGGTTTCGGTTTGCCGCTGTCCCGTGCCCTGACGCCCGCCTGTGCCCTGACGCCCGCCTGTGTCCCGCCGTCAGGTCTGCGGTGCGGCAGCGCCCTGTTCCGACACGAGATAGCCTACGTGCTGGGTCAGGTGGCGCACCCGGCCGCCACCAAACAGCTCGAGACCAGCCTGCGAGACCAGCACGAGAGCGACATGGTGAGCTCATCGGGCGGGCGTGACGCGAGGTCTGGAAGTAGCAGGGGTCGTGATGAGTCATGCTGATTCAACCGTTTTACGTGCATGTCATTGCGCCTGATTTTTGCGCTGCTGGGGGTCTGTATGGCTTTGGAATGTTGTTAAATCCCAATCAACGTGAACTTGAATCCATCATCCGTCATCACACGATGACTTTCCAGAAATATGCGTTGTGCTGATACAAATGTGAACCGCCTCATCCGGTGCAGTCTATCGGCCCACTTAGTATGCCTACCCGTAGTATGCCTATGTATATTGGTGGATGTGTCCGACTACGGCGGCCCGGCCTGCCCTCTCTCACTTCCCACCCGTCCTCCGCCAGGTTCGTCACGAGTGCGCCGAGGCGCTGGGCGCCATCGGCACGCCCGAGTGTCTGCAGCTGCTCTCGGAGTACGGCGGCGACCAGGCGCGCGTCGTCCGCGAGTCGGTCGAGGTGGCGCTGGACATGTGCGAGTACGAGCAGAGCGCCGCCTTCCAGTACGCCGACGGCCTGACGACGAGCAGCTGACGACCGCCGGCCGTCACCGCCGTATCGACCGTCCTGTGATGCTACTGGAAAGGACTCTGTCCGGTGATCTATCACTTGCGCAGATGTAACTGTCCGGTGATCATGTATCGTTCGTGACGTCACCTATAAACGCGAACATTATCCAGTCATGTCATCTTCGGACTGTGTCCTGTCATGTCATAAACGCCGACAGCTATTTCTAAATGTATACAGGGAGAGGCAGGTATCCGAGGACAAAATCGGTGTGAAGCGAATAATATCTATTTTGCCCAATAATATTTAGGTACAAAACGACACTTTCGACGCATACTTGAACAACTTAAAAATATCAGTTTACTTCATCAAATCCCCTTCATCAACGACGACGGTGGATTTACGGCCGCGGACGTGACTGCACGCGCGCACCGGAGATGTCTTGCAAATCACCCAGCACGTGCACGATGACGGCGCTTAGCGCCTCTTTGGTGTCGCGAGGTTTTTCGTTTCTCTTTCTCAACAACGCCACGCAGTTAGCACAGTGCTAAGCGCTTAGCGTGTTGTTACGGTGGTGTGAGAGAAAAAAACTAGATGCTTGGCCGAGAGTTCGGCAACGATAAGGGAGTCGGTGCTGCAGCTGGCGGCGTTTCTGGTGGTGCCGTCTGCGGGCCGCACAGCGAGCACTGAAAGTCCCGAAGACATTGGCCGTCGGGGTACCGCTCGTGCCGCGCTCCTTCGCCTACCGATGCCGAAAGTCGACTGGGAGAATCCGCTGCCCGAGTCGACGCCCGGCTACATGCAGGTGGCTTTCCCAGAGGTGTACCGCTGGGGTGACGCCGATCCTTAACCCAGTCACCTCGTGGCGAGTGAGGGATATTGTACCGGATGCCGCGCCATCCCGGGGGGGAGGGCAACGTTGACTTTCAGTTCGTTGTCAGTAATCGGCTGAGTCGCGATAAGACCGGCCAGGAGGCAAGCGTTGCGATTAAAACGCCCGCTTTTCCTGAAGGCTTGCAATTTGGCTGGTTGGCAGTGATGTGTAAACGCCGACGTCTTTGGTGCACGAGTACACTGATGACCCAATCGAGAGCTCGTGATATATAAACGTAGGTAAAACGCCGAGGACTTTGGTGTACGAGTATATTGATAATGCAATCGAGAGCGAGCGGTATCCAGTTCACAGTCAGAGAGAACATCACGATTACTGATGGAAGCCAGCGGCTGGCGACAGCGACACCTACCTACCTATCTACCACAGGACATGCGAGCGAAATAAAAAATACCTGATGTGCGGAGGGGAATAACACTATCAGAATCGAGTCGAGAAACATAGTACGTTCCTGCTGCCACCATTGTACCTACCGACCGGGGTCTGAGAACAAACTACACCGAAAAAGGCGACAGAAATCAGGCCAGGCTTCACCTCTTCTAAAGAGACAGCTTTCACTGTAAAAGAAGAAAAAAAGAGCGTTAGAACGTGCTGCATTCTTCACACGAATTGTATGCATAAACACTTCGATAGAACACAGAACATTGCGAAAACAAGAGCCTCGGCGTTTTATACAAAAAAAAAGCAAGAGACGGCGATTCCAAACACTTCCTAAACATTTATCGACGACCGACTTAAATACGGCCCCTCCGCCAGAGTTTCACGGACATCGGACCGACCACCGCGGCTACCTCGGTCACCGAAAGCCGTTGGGCTACGACCCCGCGGAGACCAACAACAACGTACCTCGTTCTCCTCGCCGCGTGTCTCCTCATCCTCGTCGTCGTCGTCGTCGTCATCGTCGACGATGCGCAGCTTACGCCGCTTCTTGCTGCTGCCGTTACTCCTGCCTCGCGACTTGCGTTTGGAGGGTGCCTCGCCGTCCGGCTGGGCGTCCTCCTCGGCATCGTCTGGTGGGAGAGTACCGATGTGTTGATAAAACAGAGAATATGAGACGAGAAGGCCCCAGTCGCAGCTCACCAATCTACGCAGCCAATCAGTCACCATCTGCGCGTCCTTTCCTTACCTTTGAGGACATCCAAGAAATTAGGACTAAACTGAAAGAGGTGGTAGACGGTCCACATACGACACAATAATATGCCTACACGTAAAATATTCGGCGGCGGAGCTCCAGCTCGCCCGCCCTCGCCCGAGTCGTCCTGCCTAACCCACGGCCCGTCCCTCCCTCCCCCTCCCGCCCCGCTCACGTTCCGTCCCTCCGTATTCCCGCCCCGCCCCTTCCCGGCCCTCAGCTCACCGTTGTCGGGCTGTTCAGACTGCGCCTCCAGCTCGGCCTCCACCTTGGCGCGCGCGTTGGCGAACACGCGCTCCAGAACGATGCTGTCCTCGTGGATGAGCGACGTCTCCTCGTTGTAGGCCTGCGCGTTCTTGCACATGAGGATCGTGTCGGCCTCCAGGTCGTCCAGATCGGCGTACTAGAAATGGAAAGCGGGGGTGGGGCGTCAGTGTGCGAACTTTTCATGAAGACTGGTGCAGACTCTAGTATGTCCAATCAGACAGGTAGAAGCGAAAGTATGACAACTAACAAATACGGCAAGATTATTTCAATATGCCTCACAAATGCTTAAGGAAACTAAGCCATTAGAATCTTAACAATGCATGGTTACAAAGCGCACTCTACGCACCCATCAATGCAAATTAATGCACCCATCAAGACCAAATTACGGCAGTCAAAGAAAAAACTCCATGTCAATCTCAAATGAGTAGGGCTGTCAACCTACCTTGCCCTCGTCGATCCTGGCCAGCAGCTTCTTGATGTCGACCGGCTTGCGGATGACCTTGTAGTAGTCGGGCAGGTCCTTGCGCGAGGGCAGCTTCATGAACGGCTCGCTGAGCACCCGGCCGTCAGCGTCCACGTAGTCGATGATCATCTGGACGATGTTCTTCATGCCCTGTTTGAGCCGGGCCGGCACGGCGCCGGGCGAGCCGCGCTTGCGCTTGGCGTCGTCGTCGTCGCGGCGCCGTCCGCCGGTGGAGCGGGAGGCGCCGCCGCGCCGTCCGCGCTTCTTGCCGCCGTCATCCTCCTCGTCCTCGAGGATCTCGTTCCCCTCGTCATCCACCGCCTGTAGAGGAAGGGGGAGGAACGGGGTGAAAGAACAGGACTTGATAGCGAACAGCGCAGTCTCCCGGTTCACTGATAAGAGTGAACCGGGGGACTGGTTGAGTCTCGTGTTCATCGTTACTTTACTTTAAACTTTAAAGGCACCACGGATGGGTTTCAGCGCCGCCGTTCCAAGATCACTGTAGTTGTTACCTGCTGATTATCCCGGCAGTACTCACGCCGATGGCCTTGAGCCAGTCTCTGTCGTTGAGGCTGTCGGAGTAGTCGACCTCCTTCCTGGCGCGGCTGCCCCTGCCGAACAGGTCTTCCTTGTCCTCCTCGGCGGTCAGCTCGTCAATCTCGGCCTCGTCTCGGAGCAGCCAGTCGGGTAGTTCGTTCTCCTCGATGAGCCGCGGTTTGCGCGCCGCGCCCAGTTTGGCCTCCTCCCGGCGCCGCTCCAGATCGAGCTGCTGGTAAACCTGCAGCTCCTCCTCGCTACGGGCGATCATCTGGTTCACCGTCTCCTCGTCTGGCACCTCGTTCTCCTCCTGGGGACAGGCAGGGAGGAAAAGTTATCTGCTGGTTCACCGTCTCCTCGTCCGGATCTCGGACTCTTGGGGACGGCAGACGCGAACAGAATCAGTGTCTGGGAGAAACGCCAACACACGTCACTAAAACAACCACCTGTCCACACCAGAGCAGCCCATCCGAGTTCTCCGAGCTGTTTTACATAGTCTGCTGCTGAACCATTGCTCATTCAGAAGGATCTAGGTGATCAAACAGTTTCTAACAAACACCGGATCTTGTGAGCATGCTGAGTTGGGAGCAGCGTTCAGTCCTACCTCTTCGTCGACATCCTCGTCCTGGAGGATGCTCTGCAGCATCTGTCGCCGCTCGGTTCCCGTCGACTTCTGGTCAAACTTGCCCGCCTGGATAACCTTCTCGTCCATGTTCAGTTTGTACCTGACGGAAGAAAAGGGGGCGATAAGTCGACAGCAGAGATGGGAGGCCACCATTTCAAGGAAGGTTCAACTGCCGACCACGAGGTGTTGAGTCATAACTGAAGCAAATTTACATAACACATCAAAGCCCAAAACAACAAAAACGGCCAAACATCGACAGGCTTTATTCACAGGGCCGTGAAAAAAAAGATAATCGCTATGCCTTGTTTAACTCTTGAATCGTGTTTAACGACTCCGTCGTACTCACTTGGCGGCGGCGAGGATGCGCTCTTCCACCGAGTTAACAGACATCAGTCGGATGACGCGCACCTCGTTCTTCTGACCGATACGATGGGCGCGGTCCTGCGCCTGCAGGTCCTGGTGCGGGTTCCAGTCCGAGTCGAAAATCACCACCGTGTCCGCAGTCTGCCGGAGGGGAGGGCAGGGTCAGTGGTGGCACGGAGTACGGACACCATTTGGAGAAGGGTGATCCCGGTAGTGATGAGAAATGTAGTGCCGTCGGTAGTAACACAAGAGTGTCAGTGTCAGTGAGTATGATTACTGATGATGATGATAGGGTTTGATGGCGTGCCCAACCTCTGAGGGTTATATGACGCCAGTAACTTATCTTCTTGCGTGAGGTGCGGGGCAAGAACTGAACAGCGAGTTAACAACAGTCTTAACCCGCGCGGGGCTGGGGTCTCCAGCCGAACGCGCGGGGCTGGGGGGGGGGGTAAATTTTACCCCCCCCCCCCTGTTATCTCCCGAACTAATGGTCCGATTTGGAAAATTCAAACGCCAATCGAAAGCTCTCATCACGAACTACTAAAAACATGTACTTAATTTAAAGTTTGAGGTCAAGGTCAAGGTCAGGTCAAGGGTACAAATTGCAAGTTTCTACAGTATCGGCCTTGCACCGTAGTTGCCGAAGAATGGAGTCATGGACTGAGACTGATCGCCCAAAACGTGTTCTTAGGCTACCAAGACAATATTCGTTGCATACAATATCATTCAGAGGTCAAGGTCAAGGTCAGGTCAGGTCAGGTCAGGTCACCAAAAAACAAAATATTATAGAAAAGGGCATGTGCGACACATGTTTTATGGGTCATTTTACTCATAGAATTCAATAGGCACACTCAATAAGTGATATGGACCACCTCTGGATGAATTTCAGGTCGAGGTCAGGTCAAGGTCAGGTCAAGTGAGGTCAAATTTTGAAGTTGGTTGTT